TATTTCGCTACTCTGGTTTAAAGTAAGAATTAAGTAATCCTCAGACAAATTACATTTGATCAACGTTTCAACACTCCAGTCTAGTGTCTTCATGTACAACAAGATAATATCAAGGCATGTTCTCTACTCTGGTTTAATGATTTACCCAATTACGGTAGAATTTACATTGCGATCGAACGTTTCAACACTCCAGTGTCTTCATGCAACCAGGTATAATATCGGACATGTTTCGCTACTCTTGTTTAAGTAAATGAATGCAATCCCCGAACAAATTTACATTCACGATCGAACCTTTCAACACTCCAGTCTAGTGTCTTCATGCAACCAGGTATAATATCAGACATGTTTCTCTACTGTGGTTTAAGTAAATGAATGCAATGCGTGAAGAAATTGTATTCACGATCCCACGTTTCAACACTCCAGTCTGGTGTCTTCATGCAACCAAGTATAATATCAGACATGTTTCTCTACTCTGGTTTAATGATTGCAATCCCCGAACAAATTTACATTCACGATCCAACGTTTCAACACTCCAGTGTCTTCATGCAACCAGGTATAATATCGGACATGTTTCGCTACTCTTGTTTAAGTAAATGAATGCAATCCCCGAACAAATTTACATTCACGATCGAACCTTTCAACACTCCAGTCTAGTGTCTTCATGCAACCAGGTATAATATCAGACATGTTTCTCTACTGTGGTTTAAGTAAATGAATGCAATGCGTGAAGAAATTGTATTCACGATCCCACGTTTCAACACTCCAGTCTGGTGTCTTCATCAGGGACAATGCATCATCAGTCAACAAGCTTTTGGTATATATATCGACACTCATCTATATATCCAAGGTTGTTGATTCATTCTTATATGCCAAGGTTCCAAGCAACGTAACTTGTTCTGGGACAGCTGCATTCACTTACGCAGAACAGAGTGGCTGAAACATGCCTGATATTATACCTGCTTGTAATGCATTAATAAAGCGCTTTGACTTAGATTTACCTTCAAACAGTTCCCATGTAAAAGGAATCTAACCGAAAACTCTTAGCATAACTGGTTCTTGTTTTTTTATGGAAAACTTGTGTTCTGATCTAAAGTTCTTTTCAAATGTTTATTGTGATCTTTGGTTGGATTACCAATTAATCTTTGGTGGGATTTACCATCAGTCTTATCATAGTCTGTCAAGATATGATGGTCGGGAAGCTCGGCAAACTTCAGAGCTACAAAATAGAAAAACTTTGTTTGATGTCAAACCGTACCTCACCGCGCACAAATCCTTTGTCTCAACTTCATTAAATATTATCATCGTGGTTGTACGTTTCATCTCAGCTATCCCTTTTGGACGATTACTTCGTTATACGACAATACAATGAGCTCAATCACCGTGACCGTGCACAAATTAACATAAAATCTGACAAAAACAGAACACAATGAGTTCTTCTGTTTAATTCCAGACCATTATATCTTGATAGACTATAATTATGTTCTTATGATTGTTAAATTAATCAAATATAAAAATCTATTTATTTTTTCTGCATTTTATTTAGCTCAAATTGAGTACTTCAAAGATAAGTACGGTGGAGTACCTAAATGGATAGACGATCTGACATCTTACACATTCTTCACAGAGGGTTGGGGTTTGTATTCTGAAAATCCGGTCATTGCTGAGGATACTGACACTTATAAAGAGCACCCCATGCAGAGATTCGGTATGCTTAAGTGGCAGGTATGAGTTCCTTTCTCGATATAATTAAACACGATTGCAGCGAACTTTTCTAGCGAGTTTTTTGTTTTAGTGTCTTCTTTTCTTCGTAGGTTTGGAGAGCTTTGCGTTTAATTGTTGATACAGGTCTACATTATCGTGGAATGAATAGGTAGGTAATTGATGATATCATTACAGTCTCATTGATCCAATGTTACTACACGAGGAAACCTAAACTAAATTTATTTACACTCAATAGCTCAAGCTATCACTTCCAAACTCTTCTTCCTATGGAGGTAAAGTAAGGATCATATGACTCTTCTTATTGGTCCTGTGTTACTTCAGTTGGAAACCTAAACTAAACGTTAACTAACTTATTTTTTTATACATACTGCATAGCTCTATCAGTTCTAAACTGTTCTCTCTTCAGATCTAGTTCTGAGTTACTCAATTCGAAAACCTAAACTGGACTAATTTATACTGAATCGCTCATTCAGTTCTAAACTGTTCTCCGTTGAAATACAGTAAGAGTAATCTCTTATTGGTCCAGTAACTTGTATTGTGTTGTATCGTATTGCATTGCATTGCATTGCATTGCATTGCATTGCATTGCATTGCATTGCATTGCATTGCATTGCATTGCATTGTATTGTAACTAAACCTAAACTAAACTACCTTTATTTATACTGAATAGCTCTATCCGTTCTAAACTGTTTTCCATATAATTAGTTATTATTAGTCCAGTATTAGCTAAACCTAAACTACCTTTATTTATACTGAATAGCTCTATCAGTTCTAAACTGTTTTCCATATATATTTAGTTCCTTATTGGTCCAGTATTAGCTAAACCAAGCTAATTTTTTTTATACTGAACACTTCTATCGGTCTTATCTTAACAATCACCATACCTCGCCCTTACAGGACACAAGCATTATGGTATTTCTCGCATTATGCTTGGGATGACTCCGATTTGGCTCAAAAAGAAATCACTCGTTACCAGGGCGTTCCCGGCCAAGCCACCGCGTACATGCTAGGTCAACAAAGACTCGTGCAACTACGAGAATACGCCAAGACTCAGCTTAACAACAAATTTAATATCCAAGATTTCCATTACCAAATTTTGTCTCAAGGCTCAGCGCCCGAAGCCTATCTTGCAAAGCACGTAGAAAAGTATGTGAAATGCTCTCTGGGTACACTGACAGGTCCGACATGCGATGTCATTTTGAAACCGCCCAAGAAATCCAATAGTCAGACCGTTCAGAAAGAAGAACCACCCAAGCCTCCTAAACGACATTACTATTAAACTTTTTTAGAAACCTTAGTTCTATCCAACACAAATGAGTAATACTGAATGTATGTAAGTAGTTGATTAATAACCGTGCAAATCTAAATCGGACAAAATAATAATAGGACAGATCTAACGTTTTGAAACACGTTTTCGTTTGCGAAAACAACATCGCTCACCTTTTGAGCGATGTTGAAGTGAATGAGCAAATTTGAAATAGTTTGTGAATAAATTCAAGTTCATAGATCAAAACATGGCGATGAAATAGGAACTTTTGTTTTGCATTTAATGCTATTTTACCACCGATATGTTTCTCATTACGTATGTCTAAACGTAAATGCGATGATGGTGCCATCGTGCGCACGCAATTATTAAACTACATAACATGTAGTCGAGATTGGAAGAATTAGAATATGCAAATGAAGTATTCAACTGTTCAATCATCATTTGAAGATACAAAAAGTTGCTCAAAAAACAATTAGTTTCCGCAAGGTTGATTCGCTTTATTCTCGTGTACCTTTATTTTACTTTACACAGAAGACAAAATATGCTAGTGCAAAAATTATTCAATGAACAGTTCTATTTGGCATGTTTATATCCAATAGCAGCACGTTATGATTCAACTGCAATTTATTCCGACGCAAAATCACTGATCTACTATTAGATCAGTGCGCAGAACGCGTCATTTGGATGCGCAGTGGAGACTCTCTATTTGGCTTATTTCTTTGTCTATGATGACACGGGACAAATCAATCCGACGGACTGTCGGACTGCTTTGCCTAGACGAATAGGCTATGTTCGTTTTAGCGTCTTCCGTATACTACAATGTAATGTTAGGCTTAGACACGAACCAGATGCTCGACCTTGTAGATTTAGCCGTAATATTATATGCCGCTGCATCAATTACCCATCGTAAGCTCTTAGGATGATATATGGCATCAAGAAACGTACTGTATTTTTAATACTGTGGTTGTCATTGCTGTAATTAATGTATAAATACCCGTTCAAAATAAAGTTATAAGCAGTGTCCGTCTCCAATTATTGTACGCTACGCGTTCCTATTTTTCTGTGGCAATTTCAACGCCCGCAGATTAGGGACCTTTCAGGTATGCGGGCTAAGATTGCGTGCCAGTGTACATGTATTGAATACCCTGATTTAATTAATGACCCGTAATCTGTCATGCCAGGCTAATATTTAACTGGGTAAAAAAAGTGTTTATCCAAACATAGTAACCCGATGAAGCGACACGCTGCCAATGTGCTCAACCGCAAATGGCTCAAAATACGGACAGTCGTTCACGAAAAACAGATGTAGTTATAACAAGCGAATATTTGCGACTTCGCAGTCTTCGCTTGTATTTCGAGCAGTTTGTATTAAAAATCTTTCATCGGCCGAGAGCTGGACCGGTTGACTGGCTTGTTGAACATTTGGAAGCAAGCGATCGAATTATGGCAGTGAAATGCGTGAGAGCTTTGCAAGATATTGGGTTAATACATCACGGTATGAAATGCTATATTATTATTATTATTATTAAAGGTTTATTATGAAACACATTTTGGCACCCGAAGGTGAATTGCAATATGCTTACAGAAACATAATAAAAGATGAATATCAAATAATATAAATATAAATATATCGTATATGTACAGTTGTTAAAATACTACAAATTATTTACTATTAAAATTAGCAGTCATTGCTGGTATAAAACTAGTTTTAAAACGTTCCGTTCTGCTTTTAGTTAATGTGAAGTTAGAATTGTTTCTTAAGTCCAGTTCATGCGATTCTTCACGGAGTGGGGGTAAGAGGTGGTTGAGGTGAGCATCGGGTTTTAAGATCTTTTTGAATGTTTTAGCACATAGCTCTTGACGTCTGTCGACAAGGCGCTTGCATTTAGCGATGTTGAGAGCATCTTCGTAATCTGTTGTCGGATAAATAATACGGAAAGCTCTGTTTTGAACTTTTTCAATTTTATCCCCCAAACACTTTGGTAACATGGTGTGCCAGACAGGACAGGCATATTCTAAGATAGAGCGCACCATAGAAAAGTAGACTAGTAAGAGGTCATTGGGGGGAAGACCACAGCGCTGTAGGACACGAATAATGTATAAGCGTTTTGAGGCTTTTTTAACTAACGCTTCAGTGTTATCTTGCCATTTCAATTTATTGTTCATGGTTGATGGTTAAGCCCAAAATTTTGAAAGAAGGAACTAAGTCTAGAGGTAAACCATCAATGAGGAGTCGGGGGATGTCATTCTCGCTACGGACGAAACTCAGTATCATTTCTTTGCATTTCTTTCCGTTCAATTTCATGTTGTTATTAACAGTCCATCTTTCAATTGTGTTAAGATCAGATTGTAGGACTGAAACTTCATTTTTCTTTAAGGACTCCGATATTGTTACGTCATCCACGTATTTCCAATGGTCAGTGCTAGAGGATGCCAGTTCAAGGTCGTTGATCATAATTATGAACAAAATAGGGCCCAATTTGGTTCCTTGAGGGACACCTGCGTTATTGATGCCCCAATCAGACTGGAAATTCTCGATCTTTACCGATTGACGGCGATTTGAGAGAAAGCTGCATATCCATGGAATAAGCGACAATCTGACGCCAAGGGCCAGCAACTTTGGGACCAGGATATTATGGTCGATGCGGTCGAACGCTTTACTGAAATCGAGGAAAACGATCCGCAGATAGCTCGATTTATCATCCAATGTTCTCAGTCAATTGTTGATCATATCAATCAAGCAAAACGTTGTAGAGGTTCCTTTAAGGCAACCAAATTGTTGCGGGTTGATTTTATGTTTCACGTCATCCACCATCCAATTGACCACAAAGTCCTCAAGAATTTTGGACAAAGAGGCTGTAAGGGAGATTGGGCGTAACTCCTCCTCACAGGATACGGATGGCGCTTTAGGAATTGGTGTAATTAATGCATCTTTCCATATGTTAGGGAATTCACCAGTGGACAGAGATGTATTAAAGATGTGACATACAGGTTCGGCCAATTTGTACGCGAAATCCTTAATAATCCGGTATATTCCATGAATTTTATCCGTAAAAAGCCGGGTATAGTCTAGTACAATGCAATGCAGTTCCGGTCTGAACAATAATGCATCCGCGTGTAATTTATGGTAATCGTAATCGAATTCGTCCGAGCCTTGGCAGGTATTGGCTATAAAGTACGCCTGTTTTGGGTATTGCTTATAGCCACGGTTTGTGGCTATAAAGTAAGTCTATTTTCGGCGTACCTTATCGTTAGATAAGACGCTTGTGTATATTGAAAATATGCCCGGCCACGGTGGGAATCGAACCTACGACTTTGACTAGCCCAATGCTCTGCCAACTGAGCTGCGCGGTCAGGTCGGTTCTACGATCCAGTCTTTTTCGATCCAAGTTTCAAACGATTATATGATAATACGTGATACGATGTTAGAAATACGGTATAATAAATAATGGATTTTGGTGGAAAAGATTGAAGAATATGAAAATTTAAAAATACTCTAATAATATTAATGTGAAAAGACATATAATTATGAAGTATATAATATAATAATTTGGAAATATTTGAAATGAAAAATTGAGTCAAAATTTTTCCGCTTTGAGGACCAGGGCGCTTATATATATAAGCGTTTGCTGCGTCCTGATTTTGTTTACTTTTATTAAGCATGTCTTGGAACTGAAATATTTTTACGGGAACTAACACTTTCAAGCACGCTGAGTTCGAATCCGAAAACTTCCCGCGCCGTAAACCCGCAGTTTTCTCACAAAATGCTATTTTATCTTCGCTAACTTTTAACAACAATTTTTTTCATTGTTCAACGACACGGATCGATGACGCCACACGAGTATATCACTCAAAACGACCAATTTCTATTAACCAGTCTTCCTTTTAACAAAAGACCGGTTTTACCCGAATTATTTTGAGTTATGTAATCTTATGTGTGTTGCACGTAAACAACATATCCCGCCTACAACTCTGAGAAGGTACAGATAACGCCTTCTAAAATCCTCAGTTCTAGCGATATCTCTGTAAAATCACAAGGACGTTTGTAGCCACGATATTGGTAGAACTCGTTAAGTTTTCAATAAAATGTATTTAAAATAATGGTTTACAAAAAAATAGTAAGAAAATATAATATTAACTGTTCTTTTCGAAATAATCGCCCGATCAAAATCCTCGATAAAACAACAACAAAGTAAATTCCCCAGAACCCGGTCAAACCGGTTTTTCACGAGGACAGTTCCGCGCGTGACGACGGCCACGCGAATCTCTCGCACTATTCTAGCGCCTTCTGAACATTCCCCCTCCCCGCACTAAGGCGACGAGGTGCGAACAACTAAAAAATGTCAACTATTTATAGTTCAATGTCGTTAACACGTTCTAAAGCGGAATCAATTTATGAATTGGTCTCACTATCGTTTTGCTTCCACATTGTACTTTGGCCACTCTCGTATGGCCGTCTCGTCCAGGATAGGTTTCCACGATTCTTCCGAGTGGCCATCGCCCTCGCGGTAGATCCTTTTGGAGCGCCAAGACCACATCGCCTTTCTTCAATTCTTTCACGACTTGGTTCCATTTTGATCTGGGTGTTAACATTGGCAAGAACTCTTTTAACCATCTGTCCCACACTCGGGAGATCAGCTCCTGCACTTTCCTCCATCGCTTGCGAGGGTTGAACTGCGTAGTATCCACATTTTCTGGCGCGAAGTTTCCCCCCATTTGACCGTGAATGAAATGGTTGGGCGTTAATGGAACATCATCTCTAGGGTCCGCGGATTGGTATGTCAGGGGTCTTGAATTTAGTAGGCCTTCTACCCCGGTACATATCGTCACCAGCTCTTCATCCGTCACATCACTGTTACCCATAACTGCATACACGGCTTTTTTCGCAGCCTTCACCATGATCTCAAAGACGCCCCCAAAATGTGGAGCTGCTGGAGGATTAAAGTTCCATTTGACACTTACGTTGGTTGCGTTTCTCTTGATTTTGTCCTTGTCAAGTTGGCACACAAGTTCTTTCAGCTCGTTGACGGCGCCCACGAAATTGGTACCGTTATCACTCAGCATTTCTTTCGGAATACCCCGTCTGCTTGTAAATCTAGTAAATGCGTTAAGGAAGCTATCTGTGTCCAGGCCCCACGCGACTTCGAGATGTACCGCTCGCGTGGACATGCAAGTAAACACACATAACCAGCGCTTGTTCCTCGTTTTGCCTCGTCCTTGTATCGTCTGGAAAGGCCCAGCATAATCAAGTGCCGCTTGGTCAAATGCGCGATAGGTGAGGCGAAGTCGGCTCGGCGGAAGAGGTCCCATAATTTGCGCACCGGCTTTGTTCTTTTTCTTCTTACACGTGTTGCATTCGTCCTCCCATTCCCGGATTTCCTCCCTCGCTGCTGGGATCCAATATCGTTGGTTTAACTGTGATAGGACGAAGTTTGTACCGGCAGTGTGATTCGATAGCTCGTGGAAATGTTTGACTATCAGTTTAGTCACCCAGTGTCCCCTTGGCAAGATTATCGGGAATCTGACGTCGTACGGGAGGAATTCCGCAAATCGTAGTCGACTGTCCGAGCGAATCAGTCCTTGTTCATCCAGCCGAGGATTTAGTTTCAGCAACGTACTCTTGGGTGGCATTTGTTTTCTGGTCTTCAGGGCTTTGTACTCGTCTCTAAACGCGTCTTGTTGTGCACGACAAATGATACTTTCTTCCGCGTCACATAACTCCTCGGGAAGCAGCTCCTGGTCGCTCACACGCGTCTCCGAATTTCGCGTGTTATGGATAAATCTTCTAACTCTCCCGAGCACGCGTACCAATCGTGTCCAGTTGGAATACCGTTCAGGATCAAGTCTCCAGACCGTTGACTTCTTGTTTGCCTTCCTGTCTTCGACTGGGCGTTGGTAATGGCAAACTGTCGCTGTCGCAACCGTTTCATTCTTGGTCGCTCTGCTGGTGGGTTTTGCTTCGGGTAGTTCATTAGGACGGGTTCCAATTTGCATCTTTGGCCAGCCCGATTTGTCCTCTAGCAACCACTTTGGTCCATTCCACCATAAACAATGATCTGATAATTCTGAGGGGGTTGCTCCTCTTGTGCAAAGGTCCGCCGGATTTTCGTCGGTACGCACGTGTTGCCATTGCGCTGGCTCGGTCGACATTTGTATTTCCCCAATGCGGTTTGCGATGAATGACCGAAAATCTCGTCCGTGGCCTCTAATCCACCACAAAACATCTGTGCTGTCCGAGTAAAACGTCACCATACTCATCGGTATTTCAAGAATCGGAATGAGACGCTGTGTTAATCGCAAACCTAGTATAGCGCCCATCAGCTCTAGCCTTGGAACCGTCATTGGCTTCAATGGTGCAACCTTCGTTTTGGACGCGATCATCCGACAGCTGGTGGTGGTATCTTCGTATTCACACTTTAAGTAGACAACTGCTCCATAAGCCTTAAGGGAAGCGTCGACGAATGTGATCACAGATTGATTCAGGACTGTCTTAGCTTCGCGTAAACACCTTGGTACACGC